CGGCGGGTGTGGCGGATAGGGAGGGAGCGGAACCCGAGGCGGCCCACCACCCTATGGCGGCGGAAATTACAACGGTAAGAAGGAATCTTGATGATCCACTTAAACTATGATCAAAGAAACATCTATTTTTTAATCAGAAGACCCGAATATCCTTGATCGTAATAAAGATATTAAAATTCTACGACAAAGTTGATTAGGATACTGATGAGAAAGATCCGAGCATTCCATTAAATCGTTGCACATCGCTGAAATGTTCGGGGATTTGCGTATATCCGTGAAACGAACCGTTAATGTTTCTTTTGTCACAGGTGATGGATGGGGGATGCAAGGAGGAGCGCCCAATGGTTTGGGTGGCAGTGGTAACACGGGAATGGGTGGCCCTATGGGTGGAAACAACCAAGGCAACCAGGGCAACATGAGTGGAAACAAGACCAGTACACAAGTCACCATTCCTAAAGACGTAAGTCTTACTTTGTGTTTGTTTTATTTTCTAGAAAAACGTAAATATTCGTTGCATTAATTTATTTTGGTAATCGTAGCAAAAAATTGTATATTTGCTTTTTATACCGAAGATTCGAATTAAAATCCGATTAGGAACATTGGATTTTATTCGATCGTTGCTTCTCGGAAGCTACATCGGAAAGTAATAATGAATTATCGAGATTATCTTGTCAACCATATCAAATTGTAGGTCTCGCGTATATCTGTAAACTATTTAAAAAATGCACACAGAAATACATCGAAAAGTCATTGCGCTTCTATTAAATAGCTAAAGATTGAGAATAATTTATAGATAAATGTCTGCCATGTTTAATAATGATTATTTTGTTTGATTGAGATATCTTTGATTTTAGTCTATATCTATTGAAAATATATCTGATTATATATAGAATCTTATCTTGTCTTGCAGTTGGCCGGAGCCATAATTGGTAAAGGTGGTGCGAGGATCAGAAAAATCAGATCCGACAGTGGTGCTGGAATAACTATAGACGAGCCACTGCCTGGTAGTAACGACCGCATCATTACCATCACTGGGATTCCCAGTCAGATACAAATGGCCCAGTACCTGCTGCAGCAGAGGTAATTGTTATATTGACATATATCATATACTTACATTAAATGTAAAAATCTGCTTCTTATTTCATGTTAACATTGTAAATATTGCCTTTATATTATATTAATAAAACTTAAAATCGAACATGTTTATTGTTAAATGCGCTATTTAACAAAGATGGAAGTGTGTATGTGTGTATATATATATATATATATATATATATATATACACACATACACATATATATGCTATATCTTGATGTTTAAGCATGTACAATTTTTGTAATTACATGATAAAAATTGCGATATAATGCTTGTATGACATTGTAAAATATATATTGTTATCATTTCATGCATCGCCACTTTGTTATAATTTTGCGAAGCTTCGCGATAAACATCTTGATGATATAAAAAGATAATTGTTAAAATAAAATCGAAGAAAGGATTATACTCTATATAAATAATATGTGCTATCTTGAAAATGTATAAGTAACTTCATAAATACGCTTGTGAGTGTAAGATAAAGTCGATAGTGTGTTAACATTTTGTGAATGATATATTTAAACTCTTCGATTTTATACACTGCTATTTAATATATATTGGAGTATATTTCTTCGTCATTGTCACGCGCGATAATAATTTCTCGTACTTCATCCGCTTTATAACCGATATCGCCGCCATCGCATCAGTTCATCTTTAGGAATTAACACAATCCGACTAACCAAACGATCGAGATGACTATAACATTCGCAAAGGTGAAGGAGTAGGAACGGAGAGAGACGGATGGAAGGAGAACGACGCGCTGGAGAAATCTCTAGCCCAGCGTGAGGGAAAATGGAGCACCGTTGTATGGAAGACTAGTGATTTTGTTGTTCTACTTTCGATGTAACAAGGAATCACTAATCATCCTACAAAGGTGTTCAAGAACTTCGCCTCTGCCTGAGACCTGCTTTCGGAACTAACACCATTCCCGCTGCGCTCCGTTTGCTCATCGACGCGCCGTAATTTCGCACGATTAAACAGTAACATTTTCTTCAATAATGTGTCTATAATCATCAAATAATTGCAGCTAAATAAAAGCTATAGTATTTATTCATATCCAAGTTATCTTGGATCTTTGATAACTCATGTAATGCGAACTCCATTTGTGATGCATACTAATACAATTAAGGCTTCGTGCGCTGTTGTCATTGCGATTTATTCCGAGTACGTTTATTGCGTCGCTCAGATATCATATATAAATTAAGGCTTTTTATATCGACGATTTAAATCTTATTTACGCAACATAAAATGCTTACATTTTTGTCATTCTGCGCTTTGTACCTCGTAAATCATTTTTAAAAAACTTCATAATGAAAAGAGAAAAATTTTAACTTAATATAAGAAAATTTGTCATTATCTCGTTTTAATTACATCATTTATTTTCTTCAATTTTAATCATTATGTGGTCTTTGACTAAAAATTCCGTTAATTTTTTCTGTTTCAGCGTGCACGAGAATGCAGATCATTACTAAGACGTGGTGAGGGATGCATTCGGGGAAGAGGGGAGCCAAAGATGCGCTTTTGTAACTTTTTTTTAGAAATATTTCTTGGGCAAACAAATACAAACGCTGAAAGTGGAACCTGAAACAAGTACATTTGACATGCACCTGCAGAAACGCGTGCAAGAAACTGGGATACTTCCGGCAGAATGCTGCGCACAGGAGAATAATCTGTAGAATTTACCACACATAACACAAATACACACATACACACACACACACACACACAGATGACACATGCCACACGCGAATCACCCTCTCCCAGGAAGATAAACGCTTGTGGTCGATGCTAACGTGACCTTAACATGGCAATCCTTTTTAAGGATGATAGTCGCCCAATGCAGCCTGCAGAGTAAATCGATTTACGAATCGAGTACGTTAACGTTTTCGATGTCGGCCTTTCTTTAGTATAGAATTCTCTTATTTGTATCGTGTCGGCCAAGCCACACGTACTGTCGATGTGACAGCGGGGGGTTTCAAACTGGCGAGCAACCGCATCATGTTCCCCGATGTTAGCATTCCCGAAAAAACGTATTTATCCTTTAAAGGAAATCCAAAGAATGATATTTTTTTTTTCTATCATAAATCGCGCACTATTTTACTGGGAATCATCGTGTATCTTCTTTTTCTCTTTTTTCGTTATTATTATTATTATCATTAAATCTTGTCTCTTTCACCCGACAGAAAAGAACGTATTTTAATTTCAAATTATATAGATTGTGCCAACGAACAATCGAGACGCTGGCGCGAAACAGCCAATTTGAAACCGTTAGTCGCGACTCTCCTGAACATCGAGATCTGACAACGCACACTTTTCCCATTACGTTTCTTTCCAGCTTTTTTGATAAATTCTTTACAAATTCTAATCCTATGGAAGTAAGAATAAATGCGCATAGAGTGAATGCGAGGGCAACAGTGTCGAAGGAACGGAGAGATCGAGCGAGAGAGAGAGAAAAAAATAGATTTTACTAGGCAAACGCAGGAAAAAAACTGACAAGTGTATTCGCAAAAAGAAACTGTACATAAGATCCACTAACGTTCCTTTCCCTTCCTTAATTGCTGCATACACCGACAGGTATGCGTTTCTGCTGTTGCATTATTATTGTAGTTAATATTAATTATTACTTTATGATTATTGATAAGAGTATTTTTGCGTTCATATTATCTCCCTAAATCTGTATTAATCATACCTTTATCCCCTTCAGTGAACGCGTAAACGTTCTTAGTGTTACAATGGGTAGAAATATTTAGGCTTAATGAAGAGATATAAGATTAAGGGGGCACCATCGGCGAAGAGTGAACGGTTACCGAATGATTTGATTTAGAAAATGATATGGATAAAACACTGAACACACATCTACTACAAAGTCCGTCATGATAGTAATATCATATTTTGGCCCTATATGTTTTTTAACGAGCGTAAGTGGAGCATATTTTTCAGTTCTTTTTTTCCATTTGCCAGTTTGTTTCTTTTTGTATTATATTGTACAGAAGAGAAATTTGCAAGAGACTTGCAAGACACGAATTCAAATGAATTAAGATTGGTCCGAAATGCTATAACGCTATTGCCACTGCTATATGTACATTTCAATAGATAGTTCGTTACAATTATCCTCGATGTGCAAAATTTTTACGCTAAAATCCTGATACGAAGATCCTGATATGCGATCGCGAAGATAACAGCCGGATTCGGCATACATGATCTCTGTAAATAAATACCTCTACTATATAGCACTACTTTGAAACGTGACTACTTGAACGGGAGTACCTTTTGGCAAATAGCGGCCGTATTGGTAATTTTCCAAGTGCAATTAAAAACGATTGTACTAAAAAAAAAAAGCATTATTTAGCCATTTGTGCGATCGTAATTACGAAAGCTTCGCCCTGAATAGTCGATTTTAATACTCGAGCGAGTGTGTCCCAACATGATTAAGTGATGTCACCCTTGAACCCGCATTCATTAGAGGATTGAATTGTTATAATGTATGCCGGGCTATATTAAGCTAGTACAACCTTTTTGACGGATAAGACGATAAAAAGGATCAAATATGATCAGCATAATAATAATAACATTCTAATCGCCGTTTCCAATTTTCTCGCGTACCGATGGTCAGCCCCGAATTAACTCGTAATACCCTTTCCTCTCTCTCTCTCCTCCAGCCCCTGAAAGTACATTTTAGTCTGGTCAGTAAACGTCACCCTTATCAGGGTGCCTATAAAGGGCATTTTTAAGCATCTTGACCGTGGACAATGTCCATTAATGCAGAGTTGTATCGACCAGTAGGCAGTAGGTGACGCATTCACAGTCTGTTACACTTTCGGGATCATCGCGCGTGGATTTGCATAGGTATACAAAGAGCTTGAGCAATGACACGCTTGACATGAAATGCCAAGTGAAATCACGATCCATGTGTAAATTCGCATATGTGATGGACTTTACAGATTTAGAGATCTCCCATTATTTTCACAACAAAATTCCGGTCGACTGTTCACAGAGGGACGAGCGCGATTGCACGTGACGAGATTTCCTAATTCTGTTGTTTTTCTCCCTTTTGTTAGTTACTTTTCGGTATCATTGTGTTTCTACATCATTGTTCAAATTCGAGTGCGTAGCATCGAGAGAAAATATTCTTTGCGTGTTGTTACATTAGATATGTGTTTTGTACATTTATTTTTTTTCGATTATTTCCTTGGAGTTAGAGATTAGATAATATTATCAAGTAACATTATTAAATAATAATATTATTTCAATGTCAAGGAAAATAATAATCATAATTGTCGATCTGTGAATAGTGCCACGGAATTATCACGGCCCGAGGGGATCCTCAGAAGCAGAGGGAATCGTGGTTTCCCTTGTTTAAAACAGGAGTGCGAATGAGACCGCAAATAAAATAAACTACGTGAAATGAATCAAAACTATAACCGCGCATAGCTTCGTCCGCGTGTTATGCATTTTTCGTCTAACACATAAACACACACGTAAATACATACACTTGTTAATTGTAACCCATTTCACTACGACGAGGCACATAAGCACGCGTGAATGAATGACAGTACGTGAGGATGTATGTATAGACGCGTGTGTGTGTCCGAGTGCGTGTGTGCATGGGGAAAATATCGACGCCAGATATATAAACCGGTTTGTTGCAACTGGGCTTTGGTATCGCGAGAAGGTTGAAAGAGATAACATGTATAATCACAAACATGGGAGAGAGAGAGAGAGAGAGAGGGAGAGAGAGAGAGAGAAAGAGCGCTATACACTCGTACGTATCACGATTACGTGTACTGTATAAGATAAACAGTTTACAATTATTTGTAACGGATACTTTTTATTTGTCAAATAAAAGTTAGTACAAAGAGAAACGCTGTTATTTTTATCAAGTCAACCGTCAAATCGGTTAAATTAAGACCTATTGTTGTTTTTAACATTACCCATTGTGATTCAATATCAGTATGACGAATATTAATAATAATTCCTATAAATAAAAGATTAGAAAAATTATAAAAGTTCTTTGTAAACAAAAGTAACTCTTGTTAAATTGCAATAAAGATGTAAAATACTTTCCGTCTCAAACTTTTATAGATATATCTAGATAAATGTATGAAATATGTCGCTCTTTTAAAAAGAGTGATAGCCGTACGTTTCATTTATTTAGTAAAGAAATTAGCCGAGTAATTAGAATTACGATAGTGCATACAATTTTAGCCTTATATATATATATATATATATATATATGTATATATATATCAATATTTTGATCTGAATGTACGATGAATTTGTTACATTTTAAAAGCGATTCTTTTCACTTACTCATCAGAAAACTGGTCCAATGTAATAGATATCTTAAATTATAGTTTTATGAATTGGAATATTCCATGTAAAATTCGCGACCTTCGCGAGCACATAATCAAAATAGAGTGGACGTTCAGGTGAATATATTACTGGGACTTTAATATCATTTCATTAAATTTACTTAGAGATAATGATAGAAAATTAAATATGCAGCGAGTTGGAAATGAAAAGTAGCCGCTGGCTAAAGAAATTGCAGTACGAGTCCAGCAATATATGCAGTCATTCAGTAGTTCCCTTGACAAACAGTTTGTTTTCTATAAGCATTAACTTAGCTCCAAAAAACATGACGCCACATTGGAAAAGGAAATCCAGAATTGACAGTGTAAAGCGTGGTGAGATACTAACATTATTTTAATTTATTAATATATACAGTCTGGAATTTAAATGTCAATATTTTGGGAACGTGTAGGGGATCGATAAACTAAGAAAAAAGTCCTGTAGAGATATGCTTTTGCTTTGTTTTGAAGAAAATCGCAAAAATAGAAAAAAAAGTAATTTTCATTTTTGTTTTCATTTCTTTGTTTTATTTCATTTTTATACTTTCTCATTACTTACTGTTGTATTTATTCACTTGCTTAATGTAGATATTGTTCAAAATGTTGGCCTCTTGCAGCAACGCAAGCGTTGCATCTAGGACAGCTCGTTGTTGCAACTAAACACTGATCTGGCGATATTTAGTGCACTGCAGCCTCGATTCGATTTCTCAATTGTTTTCTTGCGTTGATTGACGACGAATAAAGTTCCTGCTTCAGGACTCCCTCACACAAAGAAGTCCAGATCAGAGTATCAGATCAGGTGGTCGAGATGGCCAAGATACTACTTCTTCACGTCCAATTCGTTGTGGAAAATGTCTGTCTAGTTAAGTCTGTCTAGTTTGAGTAATTCTGCCATAATGAGCTGGACATCCATCGAGTTGAAACTACATTTCAATCCGTTGCTGCAGATGGATGTCTTCTAAATAATCAAAGAAGTCAATTTCCAAAAAATTTATATATCTGGCTACATTTAATCTATCGGATAAAAAAAAATGGTCCCACTAGACCACTAAACAAATAAAAAAAATTTTTACCTGAAAACGGAATTATTATTATTATTGTTTTCGTGTATGATTTTAGTGATGCTAATATTTTAGAGGCAGTGCAAGAACGAAAGGCAGTGTAACTACGTTTTGTCTTTTTTGCTATTTTCTCCAAAACAAAGCAAAAATGAGCACATCTTTACAGGACTTATTTTTTAGCTCGATCCTCTCTACATTCTCGAAGTTTTGACATTTAAATTTCAGACACTCTGTATTGATGCTTATTAATATTTCAATACCGAGTTAGTAATTATTACTTCGCCAAACAAATCAATATTCATCTCATAATAGGATATCGCAAATGTCTGGCACACGTGCGGGTAGAAAAATACTTAGGCTGGTTTAATATCTATTGTAAGAATACGAGTCTGCATGGTTTTCGTTATATAAGCATGGATGGATCGTCGATAATCGAGAGTGTTCTCTGGTTCATGGTGAGAACTCTATAATCATCTCAAGAGTGCAAGAGTAAGCTCAGTAATATTGTTCAGGAAAGGTAATTTACTCTTATATTCGACAGGTTTGTATATTGTCCATCGTGTTCTGCGTTATATTGATGTTACGCTTGTGGGCCAATTACTCGAACAATCCCATAGTTACGACTATTTACACGTCAAATCCGATATGGGACGTGTCTTTTCCAGCCGTCACCATATGTAATAACAATAAGGTCTATCGTCCACATGCCGATCTTATGGCTAAGAATTTGTAAGATATTAATAAGATATATATTGTAATACATTCAGGTGTGAAGGGTTCATCATTTTCCTTCCGAATCCTTATATTAATAAATAAAAGATAAATTAGAAAATCAAAGTCCTTAAAAAAAAATTAAATTAAATTAAAAATTTTCTGTCTATCTGAAAAAAAAAATTTATTCTAAACTCGATAGTTTTGTTTCGGTTTTACTAATCTTTCCTTCAATTTTCTTCATAAAAACTACATCAAATAAAAACTATTTGATATGATAAATTTTCTATTTTTATCTAATGTGACAATTTATGTGCGAAAATTAGTTTAATTAATTTTGGATCAACGGAGTTAAATTTCCATATCCGATGTTATGTCCCAATTTTGCGCGATTTAACAGATACATGGATGGGTTCACCACGAACGACAGCGATAAATTTTTTTCATCCCTAGTGAAATTGATACGACCCGACAAAATTTCGATAGACAATGTGACTGCGAGGCAATTTCTCGATAGACTCGACATGACGGTCGAAACGCTCATGGAGCAGGTGAAAAAAAATTGTTTTAATGATTAATTTGTATTTCTAAGAAGATACAGATTAATCATAAGATCCGTTCAAATAGCGAAAAAAGATTCGAGTTAATAATTAACGATATCTCTCGCAGTTGATGCAGCCTTGCAGCGCATTACTGTTAAGATGCGTTTGGCTCGGCAAGGTTTATGATTGCAGCAAGATCTTCAAGACTATCAAATCCAAGGAGGGTTTCTGTTGCGCTTTCAATTATCACTACAATCCTAACGTTGGATACATGTAATTGTCGCGAGAAAATTCTTGGAAATACATGTCGCTTCTTTGACGCTACATTATTCTATATATTGTGTACATACAAAACATCATTGCTACAACATTTGCAATATTGCTGGAATATTACTTTGCTGTATGACAGGCCTATCCAATTTGAGTTCCGGAATCAAAACGCTATTGACGTAAAAAAAACCAATGTGAGTTTAGGAACTATAAGGTATTGATAAGCGTCACTTACAATTGGATGCATATCAACACTTTACAGTCCCCGAAATCTTACCTACATAAATTTTTTTGCGTCGATAGCTTTGTGTTTTGGCTCCGGAGCTCAAATTAGATAGGCCTGCTGTATGGGATGTCAAATTGGTGCAAAAGTTCGTATTTGTCGGATAAAGTTGCAGATGAAATTTCAACATAATTACCATCGTCTCTGTTTCATCTAGAAGCTAGTAAAGTTCTCTGCTTTAATTTTTAAAAACCTTTGGTTGTTTGATGATTCAAAGTGTACAAGGCAAATGAAAGTTAAGTTCAGTTAAGTGCAATTAGAAATAATATTAATGTATATTTAGATAATTATAATAAAATAAAGGATGGACCTCTTTTGCTTACATCTCATTTGTCTTTAGATCAATTATTATACTACATAGTATTGCTTATAACTCGATTAAATATACGCTTTTGTATACAAAAATAATAATTTCAGAAATGAAGTTACATTTGCTTATATATTATTGCTTACAGATCGATTGTCTACAAGCACTATTCTCTGCTTTAAAAAGCACAAATTTCTCTGTTAACACAAATTTCTCTGTTTTAAAATATAAATTCTTCGCTTTAAAAACAAAAATTACTTTCTTATATAATGTAATCTTAATTTTTATATATTTGTGCGCAAAAGTGCTTGCAGGCAGTCAAGTTGTAGGCTACAGTATTAATACATATAATTAATTGATCTATAGGCAATAATAAATATAGGCAATCAATTTATAGAAAAAAGTAGCCCTCTCTAAAATTAACACTGTATTAATTTTATTATACTTATATTATATAAATATTATTTTTATTTCTATATTGCGCCTAATTAACCCATATTTGCCCTGTATATTTTGAATAATTTTTGTATTTTAATTAATTGCAATAATTTGATTCTTTGATTTTATTTGATACAAAAATAGAAGCACAACAACTTAGTAGAAAAATTAATAAACTTTCAGCAATAGTCCGATATATGTATAAATGTCATCCGACATATAAATATGTATTTTACACTTTCATCATTATTCCGTAGATCCAATGATTTTAATACCAACGATTTCAACAACACTTCTGATGATTTGCCGGGTGTGCACACAATTTTGGTAATGCTCTATCCTCACGTTTCGACTAGAGATTCTATATCAGAATCTAGGAGCAGCTAGGAGCAGGGCTGAGCATGTATATTTAAAATAGTTTTATTTAAAACACAGTATTTGCGATACAAGTGCATTTTGTATTTTGTATTTCAGCAGAGCACAATGAAAATACGTATTTTCTATTTAAAATGGAAAGATTAAAAATTTTTTGTATTTTGTAATAAGATTGATTGTCATAATCTTAGTATTGAAAATACAAAATACAAAATATTTGCATGTGCTCCGCTGAAATACAAAATACAAAATATAATTGTCTCACCGATATTGTTTTTTAAATAAAAATATTTCAAATACATGCCAGCCCTGATCATAATGCTCCTTTTATAACTTTTTAAAGATCGTTCCTCCAGGAATTCTGTATCGCACAAGAAAATAAGAGATGAATAAGAAATTATAATTTTTTACATTGTCTTTCTCATTAAATATCTGTGCGGTACTTTCCCGTTAAATATCTACTATATGTCTTATTTTCTGCATGGCCCTTTAAATTTTCGGCAATGGATAAACTCGCTCCTGATCAGACTCTGTTATAGGATTTCTAATTTCGACTACTTGTGATTGCACACGATAAGTTCTTCTCTTGCAGAAGGCGCCCGGAAACGGCCAGGATGTGGGACTCGCGGTGGCCTTAAACATCGAGCCTGAAATGTATAAAGCTACTTCGCGTCCTTACGTAGGAGCTTCCATTATAATACACGATGCAATTGATTTTCCCGACATTGATGCACACATGGTAGCCGTGCCGATTGGTCACGTCCTGGGGATATCCATTACCGGGACGTCTATCAGAGGTATGGAAAGTTTGAAGGCCATATCTCAGAAGAAACGTATATGTTATTTCCACAACGAGGTAAAATTATGTATACTTTTCGGCTTAGATCAAGCGTTATTTAGCGCGTTAACTCTTCTGTAAACTCTCGTCTTCCATATTTCACGTTAATTGTAATGAATATACCCGCAGGTACCAGGCAAGATTCGCTACAGCTATCAATCGTGCGTATCAGAGTGCATAGCCAAGCACATATATCATATGTGCGGCTGCCTGCCATTTTACTATCCGGAGACACGTGAGTGTACACAAAAAAATACATAAAATTATTTAATAGAATGGATTTAATTCTTAGGGCAACTTATAAGTGCTGTATTCTTCAATTTCGACTTTATCAATATTTATTGTACAATTCCATACCTGGTAGAAGGAGATATTTTGGAAATGCATTAATACGATAATCGATAATATATAAATAAACTTTCATCTGCAATCTGGATTTTGATACAAGTGAAATACCACTTTAGGGTGAAATTTGGTTCCTCTCTCTCGCTATTTCTCGCTTTCTCTCTCTCTCTCTCTCTCTCTCCTTTCTAAAATATTTTATTAGCAGTGGCATCTGTAACAGATATATTGAAAAGTAACTCTGAATTTTTTTCTACATTTTTTTGAAAGTCTATAATAGAGAATAAAATTTAGATTAAATAAAAAGAATCTTGAAAAAGAATCTTGAACGCAGATGAAAGGTTAATACGCGACATAATAATACAAGAAGAATACAATTAACATGATAATTACATTATGTTACGATCTTCAATGGCAGATAAGGGGATAAGGACATGTTACTTGCCTGACACAAATTGCCTTTTAAGCATCCGAAGTAAGAAAATGCACATATTAATTATACAGGATTAATTAAGTATGTTGCCATACTCAACAGAGTGATTCTTTGGTTTATTTCAAGTAAAAAAGTCCATCTGTTTCTAAACGGTTTAATTTCCGAAGTAAAAAAATTTAAACGTGTAGTAACAATTTGTTTATTTGAAAGAGATACAGCTTGAACTCTAGTCAAAAACTAGTCAAAAATGGAAAAACAAAAACAGGCTTCAGTTCTTCTGATGAAATAAAACAATTAGATGAATTGTTGAAAATGTCCACTTTGCCCCATGATACATCCATCGAGCCTTCTTCTTAAAGATTGACGTACACGCTCAAAGACCAGAGTGTTACGTATTACTTCGCATGAAGCAACTATTCGATTCCTCAAATCATTCTCATTCTCAATTGGGGGTGGTATAAACCAATGATTTCAGATGCCCCCAAAGGAAATAATCCAAAGGATTTAAGTCTGGAGGAGATTCTAATCTAGGAGGAGTCTATTTTTGATTTTGTGACTTTTACTTTGACTTTGTTTACGGTTGTGCGAATGATAACTCACGTGAAGCAAGGCATATTTATACAGAAAGATATCTCTAACGCAATTTACCGTTTCGTCAAACATTTGCGAACATTCACCTATATTTCGGAAACTAAGCCATTTAGGACACATGTTTATATAGACTTTTTTACTTGAAATAAACCAAAGAATCGCTCTGTTGAGTATAGCAACATACTTAACTAACACCTTGTATATATAATATTAGATATTTCGTATATCTGATTATACAAAATTGTAGGTATATAATGTTATTTTTCAAAATTCAGAATCGAAACTAAATTATGGGGATCATTGCAACAAAAATTGTCTGCCTGAGTGCTCAGATGTGTTCTACACTATCAATCCAGAAAATATTAAAATGCAGGACGTGGGATATGATTCTGATCTAATGTGAGTCCACATCATTGCCTTTAACGAAAAGAACGTTGGCTTTTTCTTCGAGATATGCAATTATTCATATTATTTTCACAAATTTTTAATAATAATAGCATTTTACTGAGGTGTGAAAAGATTATATTCTTATACTTTTTTCTTAAACTTGCTTTTCATACTTTTTATATTTTTAGGGACGATTTCGATAAAAATATTACGTCTTTCGTATACATATTTTTCGGCGACGCCTCATATGTTGAATATCGCAAGGAAAGTACTATCAACTGGGATTCACTCATCGGTGAGTTAGATTCCAATATCTTGAATAGCTAGTGATAGAGAATTCGTTTGTCTTTGATCTTGCTTGAATTAATTTTACTCAGTAGAATGTAATGAAATCGCACGAATTATTACAGCATCCTTCGGTGGTATCTTCGGTCTCTGTCTCGGTGGTTCCGTGTTGAGCGTTATCGAATTTGCTTATCTCTTGGCCAGGCAGCTCTTTAGAAGACAGACTCGCAAATGGCAGGAACAAACACGTACGAAATTGCCGCCGGCGTCAGAAGTGTTTCTATCGATTCCCGCTAAAGAGAAAGTTCAATTACGAAAGCCGCGAAACCATCAGGAATCGGTTGACAAGCGTGTTTTCGTCACGTGGTATCAACCAATCGTGCATCAACGTAAAATAACAAGTCTCGACAACATGAATCACATGAAACATGTCAAATTTTAAGTCAGTTTACTTTAATCGAAATGATTTTTTACAAGTTGTTGAAACATTTTTTTGTGATTGAAGCATATAATGGAAGAAATATTAGGAACAAGTATGAATACAGAGAAATAAATGATTAGAAATAAAAATTAAATGCAACGCCCTACAGATACAAATAAAATATAAGATATATTATATGATAACATACAAATAAATACAAGACATATTATATGTCATATTTTATTTATATATATCTATTATGTACATTATGTTTAATTTATAGTTCTAATTTTTTATTTCTTTATTTTGTAATATTTCTTCCATTGTGTACAGAATTTAAAAAATAGAAAATATGCGGTGTATACACTGAAAAAAAGTTCGATAATAATAAATTAAATTTAGATGATAATTACTAAACCTTTGACGAAGTAATTTCAATCAAATGTCTGATTATGTAGCTAAAATTAACTAAATGCTAATTTATTTTTTTAATATTACTTTACTTTTCTAATTATCATGTGTTATACCAAACAGTTACTTATTTATATTTAATAACATTTACTAAATATTGTATTAATACATTAAACAAAATACATTTGTTAGCTATTACCTCTTTTCAATGTATAATGTTTACGATTATTAATTATTACGTAGAATAACTATGTACTATTATTTATTATTATAAGAAATAGTAAACTCTTGCGGTTTACTTTACGTGATTATTTATATTTATTGGATTTTCACTGAAGATCTATAGATAAATAGAATCTAATTATTACTTTTATTTATCAAATAAAAGTTAACATAAAGAGAAACACTGTTATTTTTATCAAATGAAATCGGTTAAATTCCTGTTGTGTTGCTTTTGACATTACCTATTATTATGATTTAATACCGGCATAGTGAATATTAATAATAATAATTTTTCTAAATAAAAGAGTCTGAAAAACTATTTAAGTTCTTTGTAAATAAAAATAACCTGTCAAATTGCGATAAATATAAAATACTTTCTTGGACTTGTATAAATATGTCTAGATCTAAAGGTGTGAAATATATCACGTTTTTAAAAAGAGTGATGTTTCAATTACTTAGCAAAAAAATTAGCCGAATAATTAAAAACGATAGTACATAAAATTTAGACTTGTAGGGATACCTAGATTTTGATTGTACGATGAATTTGTTGTATTTTAAAAGTAATTTTTTTTTTCAATTACTTATCAGAAAACTAGTCGAATGTAATAAATCTTAAATTATTGAGTTTCATGATAGAATATTTGACCTAAAATTCGTGATCTTCGCAAGCAGATAATCAAAATAGATTGGACGTTTAGGTGAACATGGGACCTTAATGTCATTTCATCGAATTTACTTAGGGATATTGATAGAAAATTAAATGACTAATGAATATACAGCGACCGAGTCGGAAATGAAGGGTAGCCGCTGGCCAAAGAAATTACAGTACGCGTTCGGCAATACGTCTAGTCATTCGTAGTTCTCTTGGCAAGTGGCAGTTATATAAGCATTAACGCGATAGCTTCAAAAAACATGAAGTCTAATTGGAATAAGAAATCCAAATTCGACAATATAAAGCATGGTAACACTAATATTATTTTAATTTATTAATACATATTGGTGCTTATTAATATCTTATTAATATTCAGTACGGATTTAGTAATTATTTATATATCTTCGGAAACAAATTAATATCTTACATGTCGTGATAGGATATCGCAAATGTCAGGCATACGTGAAAAAACATCTGGACTGGTTTAATGTTTATTGTGACAATACTAATCTGCACGGTTTTCGTTACATAAGTATGGACGGATTGTCGATAATCGAGAGTATGCTTTGGTTTCTGGTGAGAACCTTATAATAATTTCAAAAGCTCAAAAGTAGACTCAATAATATTGCCCAGGAAACGTAATTTACTCTCATATTCGACAGATTTGTATGTTGGCCATCGTGTTCGGTATTATATTGATGTTACGCTTGTGGGCCAATTACTCGAACAATCCCATAGTTACGACTATTTACACGTCAAATCCGATATGGAACGTGTCTTTTCCAGCCGTTACTATATGTAATAATAATAAGGTCTACCGCCCACACGCCGACCTTATTGCCAAGAATTTGTAAGATTAATAAGATATCTATTTTAATATATTCATTTGGGGTGCGAAGGATTCGTCGTTTGTCATGAATCCTTGTATTAATAAATAAAATTAGAAAAATAAAGTTTTTTGATGATAGTATATCGCAAATGTTTGACATATGTATACAATTTAAAAAAAATTAAAATTCTTGAAGAAAAAATGCAGTTAAAAAATTTCTGTTTGGTTTAAAAAAATTTATTCCAAATTCGGCAATTTTGTTTCAGTTTTGCTAATTTCTCTTTCAATTTTCTTCAATAAAAACTATTTGATATGATAAATTTTTCGTACTTATCTAACATGCAATCTAATAGACAATTTATGTATATGAAAATTAGTTTAATTAATTTTGAATCTCCGTGTCTGATATTATGTCCCAATTTTACACGATTCAACAGATACATGGATGGGTTCACCACGAATGACAGCGATAAATTTTTTTCATCCCTAATGAAATTAATACGACCCAACGTAATATCTATAGACAATACGACCGCGAGACAGGTCCTCGATAAACTCGACATAACGGTCGAAGCGCTCATGGAGCAGGTGAAAAATTATAAAATACTATTCTAATGATCAATTTGTAATTCCAAGGAGATACAGATTAATCATAGATTCCGTTCAGATGATGAAACAAGATTTGAGTTAATAATATCTTTCATAGTTGATGCAGCCTTGCAGCGCGTTGCTATTGAGATGCGCTTGGATTGGCAAGATTCACGATTGCAGCAAGATCTTCAAGACCATCAAGTCCAAAGAGGGTTTCTGTTGCGCTTTCAATTCCCATTATAAGCTAAACGTTGGACACATGTAATTGTCGCGAGAAAATTCTCGGAAACACATCGTTTCTTTCACACTTTATCTTTGACATGTTATCTTATATATACATTGTTTAATACATACAAAAGCAACATTGGTGTAATGTTTGCAATGTTGCTTTGCTTTATGGAAAGTTGATGCACTTATGCTAAGTTGATGCAAAAGGTTCGTCATATTCATCGAATAAAGTTGCAAACAAAGTTTTAGCCTGCTTCATCTGGAAGGAAGATCTTAGTTTTAATTTTTAAAAAACTTTGATTCTTTGATGATTCAAAGTACGTAAGTAAACGACAATGGCGCGTAGTTAATTAGGCGCAATATTAGAAATAATAATAATATATATTTAGATAACTATAATAAAATTAACACTGTATTAATTTAATTATACGTTATCCGAATATTATTATTATTTCTAATATTGCTCCTAATAACTCTCATTTGCCTTGTACATTTTGAAACGTTTTTAAACTTTGAGAGTTATTCGTTACTAGTAATAATTTAATTTTTTGGTTTTATCCGATAAAAAATAGAAGTATGTACAGAAGCTTGATAGAAAAATTGACAAACCTTCGACACTAGTCTGATATATTCATCCGACATTTAGACGTGTATTTTATTATATTTGTTGTTATCCTGCAGGTCCAAAGTCAAGTTCTTTAATTCTACCGACTTCAATAATACTTCTGAAGATGATTTACCGGGTGTGCACACAATAGTGGTAATGCTCGATATTCTCGCATTGATTTCGACTTAGTTAGAAACCCTATAACATAATCTAGTCACGAGCACAGCTGAGCACGTATTTGAAATACTTTTATTTAAAATATATTATTTTTAGTCGAGTGTATTTTTATATTTTGTATTTTTTATTTCAACGGAGCACAAATGAAAATATTACGTATTTTGTATATAAAATCGAAAGATTGAACGCTTTTGTATTTTATAATTTAAATAATAAAGTTGATTTTCAATCTTAGTATTTGAAATACAAATACAATTATTCTACAAATGTTGTTTTTCAAATAAAAGTATTTCAAATAACCTAACTTTGATCACGAATAATTTTGTGAAAATCCTCCGAGAGAGAAAGATATATCTATATGTACTATATATGTTATATATATATATTATTTATAACAATTTTTAAGAAAATGAAGTTATTGAATAAATTTTTCTTATCACTTATTTTGTTGTCTAACAAGTCTTCGGCATTATTAATTGATATTCATAGAATTTTTGTATTCATAGAAAATGAATCTTAGAAGACCTATGTTATAATTAATTAATTATTATTCTGACAAAGTTTGTGAATACAATCTCTTTTATTAAACATGGCAATGTGGGGTAGATTGACCAAAATGAGACAAGGTCAGGTGGAAATTAATTTTAATATCTTTAGAGAACATATTTTTAGAGAATATACTTCTAGTATATGGTATATCTATATGAAATATATTATAGATATATATTTCATATAGATATGTTTTTTCATTTTTCATATAGAAACTACAATATAAAAATAAATTATGTATTTTATGATTAAAATAGCTATTTTATTTAAGTTAATATCATAATTACTATTATTTCTCAAAATATAAAACTGATATTAAAATAAAAATTGTATTTTTTATATGTGTTGTCAATAACAAATATGTTATTGTCAATTCTAGAACATGTGACAATCAATCTAGAATACGGGGTTAATTGTCACATTTTCGCAGCTTCATTTAAAATTAAACAATTTATTTTTGCGATATGATGAATTCACGAGTAATATTTTTTTTAATATCTAAAGGATATAGACATATTATAACGCATATAATATTTAAAAAAATCAGGCATTTACTTTTTTTTAAAAATCGCTAATCGAAGACTGTGACAACCAACCCCGCTCTCCCCTATAAGTAAGGAGATATTATATATATCTTTCTCTCTCATAGGACTTCGATAAATTTGCTTGTGGTTAGAGTCTGTTATAATCTAATTTCGACTACGTTGTGCACATGATAAACTCTTCTTTTGCAGAAAGCGCCTGGAAGCGGCCGCGATGTGGGACTCGCGGTCGCTTTAAATATCGAGCCTAACATGTACAAAGCTACTTCGCGCCCTTTCGTAGGAGCTTCCATCATAATACACGACCCAATTGATTTTCCCGACATTGGTACACACATTGCAGCCGTGCCAGTCGGTCACGTCATGGCGATATCCATTACCGGGACGTCTATCCGAGGCATGGAAAGCTTGAGGACCATCCCTCTGGAGAAACGTTTGTGCTACTTCGACGACGAGGTGAAATTATGTGCCCCTCGGCTTAAGTCGATTTATTTAACGCGATAACTGCTGTAAACTCTCGCCTTCCATATTTTACGTAATTGTGATGAATACAGGTGTCAGGCGAGATTCACTACAGTCATCAATCGTGCATATCGAATTGTATAGCTAAACACATATATCATATGTGCGGTTGCCTGCCATTTTACTATCCGGAGACGCGTGAGTGTCCATAAAAAAGATACAAAATTATCTAATAGAGTAAATTTCTCCTTTGGAACAACATAAGTATGCTGTATTCTTCAATCTCATTTTATTATTATTTTATAACTTTTTGGAAAATGCGTTAATACGCATGATATATAAATATTAAATAAACCCTCGTCTGTAATCTGGATCTTTTTTTGATATAAGTGAAATTTCATTTTAAAATTTTTCTGAAATAAAGATTTTCCCTCCTAAAATATCTTGTTGGCAGCTGTAATAGAGATACCGATGAAAAGTAACACCGAATTTTTCAACATTTCTTGAAAGTGTAAAGAACAAAGAATAAAACTTGGATTAAACAAAAAAAATCTAAATTACAGATGGAGGGTATAATAACACCTTATAATTGACATGATAACTATTACAATCTTTAATGTGTTAGATAAGGGGAAGAAGATATGTTACTTGTCTGACATCAATTGCCTTTTGAGCATTCGAAGTACGAACGGTTTCAAACATATTTATTATACATATATTATAATTAGATATACCGTATATCTGATTATATAGAACTAGCAAATTATATAGTACTCAGTGTTTTTTAAAATTTAGAATCGATACCACATCACACGAACACGGAAACTTGTAAAAAGTGTCTGCCCCAGTGTACAGATATGTTATATACCATTAATTCAGAATATGTTAAACTGGAGGACGTGGGATTTGATTCTGATCTAATGTGAGTCTACTCGTTGCCTTTAATGGAAAGAACGTTAGCTTTTTTTTCGCAATATGAGATTATTTATATTATTTTCACTTGAACTTTTAATTGAACTTCTTATTGAATTGTGAAGAGATTATATTTTTGTTTATACTTTATTTTCATATCTTTTATTATATTTTTAGGAATGGTTTCAATATTAATAATATGTCTTTTGTGTACGTATTTTTTGGCGATGTGTCGTATGTCGAGTATCGCAAGGAAAGTATCATCAGCTGGGATTCACTCATCGGTGGGTTAGATTCCAATATTTCGATTAGCGATAGAGAATTCGTTGGTTTTTTATTTCGCTTGAATTAATTTTATTCGGTAGATTCTAATGAAATCGCACGAATTATTACAGCATCCTTTGGCGGTATCTTCGGTCTCTGTCTCGGTGGTTCCATGTTGAGCGTAACCGAGCTGATTTATCTTTTGGCCAGGCAGCTCTTTACAAAACAGAAAAAAATGCTCAAATGGCAGAAACAATCACGTATGACGTTTCCGCCGGCGTCAGAAGTGTTTCTATCGATTCCCACTAAAGAGAAAGTTCAACTACGAAACCTGCGAAACCGTCAGGAATCGAATGATAAGCGCACTTTCAGGTATTAACCAGTCCTTCACCAACATAAAACAACAAATCTTGATAATATGTACTGTATTAAACATGTCAGATTTTAAGTCGCAGTCTACTTTAATCTAACTGATATTTGAAAGTTTGCTAAAAATTGTTTATATTATAACCCTGCACATAATAAAAGAAATATATAGGAAATATAAATAGAAACAGAAAAATATACATGCACATACCTATTAAAGAAATAAAAAAATTAGGACTAGAGATTAGACGTAACTCACAATAGATATAAATAAAATGTAACATATATCTTATATTTTATCTGCATTTGTTATGCGTTATTTTTAATCTCTATCTCTAATCTTTTATTTCTCTATATTTATTCCTTATATTTATACCTATTCTTTATAGAAATAGAAAAGATATGCGATGTAGAGTTGTAACTACTTACGATTATTATTATTATAATATAAGAAACAATTGGCTCTTGTGGTTCACTTTGCGTGATTATTGTATCTATTGTGTTTTCAATGAAGATCTGTAGATAAATTGGATCACTAATTGTTGTTATCGAAATGCTATAATGCAAATATTTCACATTTCACTTTGCTGCGTGATTTTTGATGGAAGTAAATGATCGGTCCTCTCCTATCATGTCTCCTTTTTACAATATGTTCTGTAAAACTAATATGCGTTTTAAATATTATATTTTGAAAAGTGTGGACTCAGCACACAATAAAGTATGAAGTTCGTCGAGCTCGCTAGCGCGTTGAGAAGAGTCGCCCACATGCGAAAATATATTGTACAACAAAATGAATAAATTATCGGTGAAACATAAGAACGCTTGTCACATTACATGGATTCCAATTTGTAGGTTTAATTACATATACAAAGTTTTTAATTATTTCTGCATTTATTTATGCACTAAAGTTTAATTATTTATACACTTTGAACGAAACGACTATCCTTTATAATCCCGTAGTCATTTTGATTTAAATTCAAAATACCTTCAAAGTTAATAGACTCGAACGTCGTACATCATATTTTTGTATTTTTACTTTTGATAACAAAAATTGTATTTTTGATGGCGATCTTCTTTTAACAGCGTTACACGAGAAAAACATTCTGTGTACACGTATTCTTTTGACTGAGACTGCTTTAATAATGGTAGCGTCATTTTCTATAAATCCTCCCGAAATCTGAAGGAATCACCGGTATTACCGCCTTAAAGCAGACACGGCGCTGCGTCGCGACGCCAAATGAGTTGGCAGCTCGCCCACAAGAAACAGAAATACGATGCCGACCAGCATAATCTAATCGTTAGCCTTGATCCTAATAGATAGCAAATCAATGCGATAAAACGAAGCAAAGCGAACCGTCTTTGAGATATCTTTCAGACATGTGCATTTTTAGAAACGTAATTTCATGTAGTACTGGACGACTCTACAATTTTCTGATTCTAATGTAGGAAAATATTAATATAAATCAATAATTAATATCGACAATTAGAAAAGAAAAGAAAGATGCCAGCTATTTACTATTGATAGGTGAATCAATATCGATCGGATGACGCTATTTGAAGCTATGAAAGCGATCTACGCTGCAGCAAAAGCGATGACAAAGTTTTAATAATTGCGCTCGCAAAGACAGCGTCGATTTTTGAGGGAAACTTTTCCAATTACGCGAGACAATAATGACTCGTGCGAGACTCTGTTTCCGGGTACCACTCGGTTCTCGGATGAGTTTCATGCAAATCATGTTCCGAGACGCTCTAAAGTGGTGGAGTACAACAACCGTCCCATTCAGGAGTAGCATAGAATGAAGTGGTGCAGCTAGCACGGAAGTTCAAAACTGATTATACTATTTCTATAGTTCACAATCGAAAAACTCCTGTCTAACGTTCTAACTTGTAATTCTGTAAGCGTGTTTTTAGATCGGAAGTAATTTACAAAACACGGTTCACAGCCTTTTTTAATTCACAGCCTTGTCACGCAAACTTGTACGATAAACATCTCCGTAGATTCTCGCATTAAAGTAATTACCCGCAAACGATTTCTCTCGCATGTTTTTACTTTAATTTCAACATCTCGCTCTGCTTGAGAAGCCCTCCTCATCAAATATATCATAATGAGATTTGCGATAAGCAAATATGTGGCTATCAGGCGAAATATTATGAATTGAAGCCAAGTTTGAAGATTTGAACCATCTGCAAAAATCATTTCAATATTATTTTATCCAAATTTTCAAACAAAATTAAATTCGTAAAAGCATAACTGATGAAATATCGTTGTTCTGGAAATACAGGAGATAAGAAAAACGACCTCTGTCTGCGACCTCTGTGAAAGGTTGAGGGTGACTGAAAATACTTTGCTATAGGAATTGGGGAATTGGATATATCCGTCAGTACACCTTTTCGTGATCATCATTATCGTCGTTTCTTACCGCAAGTGAAAGAAGTTGGTCGTTACCAGCTCCCTACGCTCGTTGTACTTGTACATGAAGCAGTACGGTATGTTGATCAAAATGGCGAAGAAGGTAACGAAGATCATCAAGTTGCGTGCTATCTCCTGCCTGCAGAGTCTAGGTGATTTCCATCGCGACATGCTGTGAGAATTGAATCTCGTTAAATTATTCCAGCTCTTCAAAACATGACTTTTTTGCTAATAAAATGCATACAACTCAATAATAAAATTAATTAATATAACGGAAAAATGTTTTAGAATTTACATAAAAGTACTATAAAATGAATAAAAAATTATTATTATAAAATATTATATTGGTCTTTTCTTATACTAACTTAATTGATTTGTACATCACGCAAAAAAATATTTTGCTGCTCCAGCTAGAATTATATGTTTTTTGTATCTGATAGAAAATTATATATCATACGCATGGAATTTATAGCACAAATCTAAATTCTATCTTTGTCATCTGTATGATTAAGTGCCATACATATTCAATATCGCAGTACTTGCTAGAAATTTATCTATTTTAGCTATTTTTCGTGCTTAGATAATTTTCGCTATAACTGCAAGATCACTTTTTTGAGTGATATAATCACAATTTTTAAATTTTTCTTTATCTGCGGGACTAACAGAGCAATTATTATAATTTCCATAGAAAATTTTTACCCGCAGATTATCAATCCCTATTATTAATCGTCGCTCACGCCTAACGCGGGCCACACTATAATGTTTGAGGTAATGGAACCGATCGGAAAATGAACGAACGCGTCGAATTTCAATTAAACCTTTTCGTAAGAATGAAAAATGCCTCTGACCAGACCGCAGAAAACGAGCGGGACGCAAGTGATCAGATTCAAAGTCGTGAGCACTGTATAAAAATTATAGAAATTCTTGTTGCAATTATAACATTGATATAATTAATATTACTTGGGATATTTTTAAGTCGAACATTTAAATCGAACAATTAAGTTGAACTATTCCATTTATCCAAAATCCTCGCTTGCAACTGCGGCATAATTGTCATCAAGGGTGATTACAGAGGATTCTCTCTCCAAGCGTTGTATAACAATAACAAATCCGGATGGCAGATGCGGGTGAATTCCACGTTAATTCATGGCTGATTTCCGACGTTTCCATCGACCTGCTAAATACGTGTATGCTGACCCTTTCAAGTATGTCTTCGCTTTCAAATGGACCAACGATCAGAGAGTTTCCGATTATTCCGAGTGCAGAAACTACTGGTATGACCACGGTATATCCGATAATGCTCAAGATACTTGGCTCGATCGTCTACAGTCCGTAATTGTACCGGCCAGAGTATTTCAAGGATCTCGTTCTACAATTAATCGTCGTCAATTCCAGATATTCTAAATCCCATTATGGTTTGTAACAGTCATAGCTTATTACTTTTACCACGAGTTTTACTCACTGTTTGCATAGCACAATCATATTCAAAATGTCGATAATATTAGGATATATGGGTCTCATCGCATCGTATGTTTCGTGTTGGTGCACTCGACCCACTTCTTTTGCATGGGAACTCTACTCTTCAGCCATCTCTACTCCATTCTTGAGAATGTCTTCAGTTCTGTAAGCTGGCGGCAAGTGTGGCATTAGGTTCGGATTTTTCAAGTCCCACGAGGTACTAGTTGAATCGAAGCTTGACAAACATCAAAGCATGATGAAAAAGAAATTATGAAAGGAAGTTCAGTCGCTGCTGTCTGAAACTTTGGTGAAATTTATCGATTAATATTTCTTTAGGAACCGAAATACAAAGTATTCTCTGAGTACTTTTGCTCTTTCATTCTTCACCAAAGTGATTATAATCTTTTGAGAGCGATTTTTACAAGTAATTTACACGCTTTCTAAAATGATATAAAATACTTGAGGCATTTCACGGAGAAATTAACGATTACAACGCATTAAATTGTCAATTTACGAGAACGAATCGCGCAGCTGCCGAAAAGTGAGACTCTTTAAACGAATTTCAACAAGCGAGAGAGAAAATATTCACACCGCGCACAAATGTAATTTCCATTTCAAAGTGTTATCGACGCTCGTTTCTCCGCGAATAGGGGAAAAACGCGAATGAAAGGTCACGTATTTAAATGCGTGTGCGAAGGCTTTTAAATATTTTGCAAACTACTTTATCTCTGCTATTTGATGTTCTACACGACTTTCAATTAAACACGGCAATTTTTATTTATTCAAATTATGGAGAGTTTGAAGGCATTTGCTTGCTCGTATCAACGCAGATTCTTTAAAACGCGAGTTATTAGAGAATAGTCTCGGTTTCATTGAGATCGGATCTATTCCGGTCGACCTCTAATGTAAACTAATTGGCTCGCAACGTTGCCTTGATGTCAGACGATCTCGCTTAATACGTGTCCAACACAACGTCGATAATTTCCGGGAATTACGACAAACGAGAAATGCCTTTGAAGTGCAAATCGTTAGCTCCCATTAAGTGGTCGCGTTAATGTCCACGATGGAATCCCGTTTGCGAAACTAACCGACAATAATGAACTTTCCGACGGAACTATTGTGTTGGACGAGTGAACCGGTTCGCT